ATTATTATATCTCCCCCCCCCACCCCCACCCCCAGAGCAGTTTTTGTCCTTAAATGACAGGCAGGCTTCATCGGACTGTTAGGGTCAACAAAGGGCCCCGGATTCTGTCTCCTCGGTGACATTTCTTTTAATGGCTGTGTTATGTTGGATTTGAGTCAGGCTGCCCTCCATCTCAGTGGATAAAGATTAAGAAAAGCATGCAACCTTCTGGATATGCTGATTTTACAGGTTATGTCATATAGCTTTGTTTATGGTGTAAAATTTCAAGTCTGCTGCACAGAGTTTGAGCTGGGTCTTTGTAATAAACAGAATCTGTTTCTGGATCTAAAGACTGATTGTTGCTGCGGGGCTTTTAGTTTCCAAAGATCTGAACTATTCCAGTCATGTGACTCTCTGGAGATGACACGTGGGGTTTGATTCTGGTTATCAGTTCTTGGTTAAGAGTTGATAGCGTGTGTGTGTGTGTGTGTGTGTGTGTGTATGTGTGTGCATGCGTGCGTGCATAGGGAGTATTTTTACATCTCTTGTTGGCATGCCAACAATGTTCAGCAAACTCTTTGGTATTTCTGGTGCTGCTCATCTAAAGAGAACCAAACAGTGGAATATATAAGCCCTTGCCAAGAGAGGAGTGCAGCCGTGCCAAAATACTGTGTGAGTTTTCTTGGAGCTATAAGTTGTCCAAATTCAAGTCAAGTCACTGTTGGTCATGACTGTGTGTCTTCATGTGAATCACCAAAGTATGAAACATCCTCCTTTTGTTCGCTGCATTTTTTTTCTTCATTTTTGGGACAAATCCCTGGCAACTCTTGTGTGAATGAGCCCAGTGAGTGTGCAGTGACGCCCAGCGTTGGCTCCCATGCTGACGGTTCATTCTCTGTGCACACAGCAGATGTGGCACGCTGTCTCAACAGTGCCCTCCAAGTTGGCTGCGGAGCCTTCGCCTGCCTGGAAAACTCAACTTGTGACACAGATGGTCTGCACGACATCTGCAAGTCCTTCCTGTTCAGTGCTGCTAAATTTGACACTCAGGTACGCGCTTTGATTCCATCCATCATTCTGTGTGTTGGGCAGGGTTGCATGGGTGTAACTGCCGGGGGGGCGAGAGTGTGTGAAGCGCTGCTGTTTTCTTCACAGGGTAAAGCATTTGTCAAGGAGAGCCTAAAGTGCATTGCCAACGGCGTCACCTCCAAGGCATTCCCGACCATCCGTCGCTGCTCCACCTTCCAAAGAATGATAACCGAAGTCCAGGAGGAGTGTTACAGCAAGCTGGACATCTGCACCGTGGCCCGGTCGAATCCCGATGCTGTCGGTGAAGTGGCACAGCTGCCGAGTCATTTCCCCAACAGGTGAGCGCCTCGCAGACGCTTCAACAAAATCTCCCTTCTTAATCTGCTACGAGCCACGGAGAAGAGAATGATGCACGCTGACAGACAAACAAGCAAATTAACAGTAATTCTTTTGATAGCCTTTAGAACCATTTTCCATTAGGTGAAAGCAAAACAAACAGGAATATCAAGTTTTGAATGTTTTTGTTCCCTTTTGCTGTTGGGCTTGCAGTTTGGGAGTGGACACAAAAGGAATGGAGGGTGGAGCACAAGGCGTTGTAGTGACTAGAGCTTCAGTTTGGTTACTCCCATAGGCATGACATCAGATTATCCATGCCTGCATTCGTTTGTGTCTCCTCGAAACGCTGCATGAGTTCGTCCCTTCAGGTTGCCGGCTCTTAAAGATGCGGTTCTTTGTCGCCACAGGTTTTACGGCAAGCTGCTGCAGAGCCTGATGGACTGTGACGAGGACACAGTGGACCGCATTAGGACCAGCATGGTGTCACGTCTGGGTCCTGAGATGACCATTCTCATCCAGCTGCTGCAGAACAAGCCCTGCCCATCCACTGCTGCAGCCGCGGCCGCCATCCCCACCGGCGTGGAGAGTCGTGGGAGCTGGCGCTGGGCTGCAGGTCCCAATATGTACAAGATCCAGCCTAATCTGCGAAACAGAGACTCTGCCACTCATTTAGGCAAAAAGCGCTCAGCTAGTGATAACTCCTAACTTCCACTCTGATCGAAACAAAGCTCCACACACTTTTCTCAAAGCATCATGAACGTCCCTCCATTCCCCAGAGGTGCAAACCCAACCCTCTGCTAGATTATAAATTACTGTAACACACACCTCTGTGGAATACCAGACTGCCCATGGAGTTTCTATCGGTTTGTTTGTTGTTATATTATATATCCTACTCGTTAGGCTCGAGAGAACCCCTCTTCCATCAGCGGTTTTTAAATATGTCCGCTCAAAAGTCAGTGTTGAATATGTGGCTGTTGCGTTTGTGCAACATAGTCCTGGTCACTTATTTTCATATCCTCCAGCAAAAATATGTCTTTAACAAGTCTTTTGATGCCTATAGTTAAAAAAGACAAACAATAAATTATAGTAATGGCCCATGCCATTGGAGCACAAGCCAGTAGATTAAAAGACAACAAAATCATTTTTTGTTTGTGAATATAAGTTAGTCAGTGGACTATTATTGGTAATTTGGAGGAATTATTGGTTTATTTTGGTAAATATCGGTAGATGAACCTAACGTTTCTGCACTGAGACCAGCCAATTGTATGCATGAGAAAAGACTTTCACAGCACTAACGTAAACCTTAAATGTACTGTAAACTAACTTATAACAGACAGCCATAACTAGCTCTCTGAAAGAGTGCTCATACGTGAGTGAGGTCTTTAGGATTTCATGAAAAGTTTCCTTAAACCGACCAAATAACAAACCCATCAATCTGCCCTGAATGCTACTCATCAAAAATATTGAAAGGATGTAGAGCTATAGCACTAAGATTTTATGTTTTGTTTTCTGATGGCAGGTAAAACCATGGTCATAGGTTTTAGTATTTAACTCTGTACAGAAGGATTGTTCAGGTCATGGCCATGTCTATCAGAAAAAAAATGCATATTTTATATCCAGACACTTGCAACGCATCAGACTGTTGAGCTGTACAATATATGTGGGACCAGTTCATTTGGATCCATGCTCTTAATTGGGTGTGAAGCAATTGTGTGTTGTGTGTGCGTGCGTGTGTGTGTGTGTGTGTGTGTGTGTGTGTGTGTGTGTGTGTGTGTGTGTGTGTGTGCACAGTAGCTGAAAAACATTCTCACCAATGAGACATCGTTGTCTGAGGTGAGTCATGTGACATACTCGCTGACTTTTTTGTATAAGATAGAGAATGAATATTTAAAAAATACAGACAGATAGCCTTGTCGGGATGATATTTATTTTCCTACTATATTATTTAATGTTTATTTTTTTATTATTTTAATGTGTTACCATAGTTTGAGTTAGTTTATGGGTTACAAAAAAGCAGTTTTAGTCAGAACTCCTATTTGAACATGAGCTGTATGCCAAAAAAAAAAAGGTGACTGAATGGGACCCATGTCATGACTCTGTGCTGGCCATAGGGGAACACGGTTGGTCATTCATGTTGGGGTGATCTCATTAATGGGCGTTACAAGAGAAAATAAAAGTTTTGCGGCTGCTTGAAGGCTGACCAAGTTGGTAAAAGAAACACCAGACTGACAAATCCTTAAAAAAAACATACATATTTTGATGGTGTTTTTCATTATGCTGCAGCACCTCTATTAACAATTACCTAACAATTTATTTGGATCAATTTTATTAGGGTCAATTGGTAACTCGAAATTGTCCCTAGATATGAGTGAGAGCATGAATAGTTGTCTCATTCATCTCAATGTGTCCCTGTGATGGACTTGTAACCTGTCCAGGGAGAACCCCATCTCCTGCTAGAGATAGGCACCAGCTCTTCTGCAGCTCAGAAAGGAGAAGCAGGGAAAGAAAATGAGTGGATGGATGGATGGATGGATGGATGGATGGATGGATGGATGGATGGATGGATGGATGGGTGGATGGATGGATGGATGGGTGGATGGATGGATGGATGGATGGATGGATGGATGGATGGATGGATGGGTGGATGGATGGGTGGGTGGAAGAATGGATGGATGGATGGAAGAATGGATTTGGTTACTTTGGCTGATTTTGGTTAGTTTGTTTCTGGTTGATTCACTTAGATTCATTTATAACCACATGCTGTAGCTGTCCATCTTTGCAACAGAAACCACCAGCAGATCTATGTCTGCTGAGCTTTTTTTTTTTTCCACAGGAAGACAATCACTCGAACTCAGTAGTTCAGGACAGAGGCCATGCAGGCACTGAGAGGGGTCTTCATGCTGGTGTTTGCTTTTATGATGATGGTTTGGCAGAATAAACCATAGACTGTATATAGTATGTAGACCTACAAACTGAAGTTGAAGCCAGAATGAAACCAGTTTTAAGTCCCACCCTTTTGAAGTAAATGATTGCTCTCGGTAAAAACTCCAAAAATCCAACATGACAGCTCCCATAAACCAGGTCCTGTTGGCTACAATTCCTAATGAGGAAAAAAATGGGGATATTTGGTCTATTAATATAAACAATTTATGGTATAAACGTAAAGAGACAATAACTTATGTTGATTTAGAGCAGAGCTGAGTACCTTACTAGTAAATTTGAACTTAAGAGGGTAACTAAGCCAGTGACCGCTTTGTTACCAAATTTCTCTTAAAACCTACAAAATACTTTAAATAGAACAGGTTTATAAAAACCCTGCAACCATTTTAAGTTTGGATTTTTACCCCCCCCCCCCACACCCCACCACCACTTTGGCTTCATGAAAAGAAAAGAATGTCACGACTTTTAAAGATAAAATGACTTTGCCCTGGTTTACCAAGAGCAAAGCTTGGATGAAAAAAAAGGGGGAAACTTTTCCTTTTCTCAGTCTCAGCTGAAGAGCTATGTTAAGAATTCCAAACTATGCAATAATCACGCGAAGGATTTCACAGCAACGCAGAAATTGTTGTTTATTTCTTTCAGTGCCAGCTGATGCTGTAAAGAGTTAAGAAGCAGCGTGTGCGCTCTCACGCTGCACTCACAGTTTGACAGCACCGCTCCTCTATATTGCTTTCTGTTTCTGAGTTTCTTTTGTTTCAGGAAAAAAAAAGGATAATTTCTTTAGTGTCACGCTGTGCAGAGGGAGAGATGTTCTGAAGAGATGTTCTGAAGAGATGTCTTGAAAAGTCAAGAGCTATTGTGACACTGTAATATATACGAGCTTATGGTTTATTTTGAATATGCACTTTGCATTTTAACCACTTTAAAGGGCATTGAAACATTCAGCACGTGTGCAACAGAGGCATATTTTAACAACCCTGTGAATGGAGATGAGTTTGAATCTTTAGCATCCTGAAGGGTCAGGGCTTCTTCATGTACTTTCAATACATCCGTCTGCATCTTTGTTGTCCGTGGGTAAATCCAAAACCCAACAGCTGCTGCTAAAACTACCCTGTATGATGCTGAGGGTCTCTCTGATCTGTCAACTCCCTCAACGCCCTCAGCGTCTGTCTCCTCATTTTGCATTGAAACTTTTCTTGTGTCGTCTTCACATTTTAATTCTCCGTGAACATTCTCCATGTCGGTTATCTTTTTTCTGGCAAATGGCAAACAGACTGTTCCTCACCAAGTAAAATGTAACGGCAAAAAATTTCAAGAATGTACCTGTAAAAAAATGAATGTCTCTTTCGACAAAGACGTGACCCATGAAGGCTTTTAGGAAAAACCAAAAGGGGTGAAAGTATTTTGATTTCTTTCTTGCTTTAGATTTGAATCCAGGTAAAGGGGATGCTCAAGATTGGTACTGGAGGATTGGTAAATTGACCCATGGTGAGATTTTTCTTTACTTTTTTTTCTTTAAGACTGTTCTTGTTTCAACTCGAGACTAAAACCTCCCTCACTACTGGCACTTCATGGTACTCTTTCCCCTTCAAGACTTGAAATAGACTGATAAATGTTGTTGTGCTTCAAATCAAAAAGCTTCAGTGACTTGTAAAGTTTGTCTTGTTTTCATATATAAAAGATGGTTATTTTACTATCAGATTCAGAAACTTGTTGCAGATTATAGTATATTAACTGAAACTCTTGATACAGATGCTATGTAACGCATGATTGACCCTTGTGAATCACTTGCACTTTAAAATATACCCATACACATATATGCCCACACTGTGTATATGTTTGGGTTTTTTTCCTCTGTACCGAAAAGTCATGAAAGATGCAAGTGCATCAATTGTGTGTCTTTTGCTGATAAAGAAATAAAATATTTCTCAAATGTGGCACATTGTGTGAAATATGTTGTCTTGTTCTTCTTTCATTCTGCTATAATTTCCATACTAAGTAAGTAAGTAAGTAAGTAAGTAAGTAAGTAAAGATTTATTTATAAAGCACTTTTCACAGAAATGTATTCACAAGGAGCTGTACAATCATTAACAATGTAAAAGTGGTGGAAAGATAAAATGAAACAGAGTAAAACAAAATTAAACATAAGCAACGTAATGAAACTAAAAATCAAGATTAAATTCTAAAATTGTAACTCAGACACATGGTCAATGCAGAGCAAAATATACAATAATACACAAAACATAGAGAATGGAGGAGAGAGAAAAAATCTGCCGGATGTTCAATAATAGGAAAAACACAGTTGGCGAGCATTCACTATAGAGGTAGGCTGGCATGAATGGTGAATGGTTAGCTGAATGCTTTAGTTAAAAAGTAGGTTTTTAAGTGTTTCTTGAAAGAGACAATGGAATGCAGATTAACAGGGAGTTCATTCCAGAGCCTGGGGGCCAGAGTGGAGAAGGCACGGTCACCACGGGTCTAAACTCCCACCACAAGCCTTTAAACAATGGAGCAGGATCCACAGGAGCAGCAGCAGCAGCAGCAGCAGCAGCACTGGTGCACCAAGCAATCAGCAGCAGTAGCTGCAGCACGGAGGAGAAGAAGCCAACCCAGACCTCCAGGTGAGCTTCTTAAATAGGGTGTGGTGGAGTCCTGGTTGGTCTGTTCAAAACTCTTCCATCCAATCAGCTTTTAAAGATCCAAACTGGCTCCAGCCTGCAAACTGAACCTGAAAAGAAAGAAGAGAGAAAGAGGAGGAAGAAAACAATCTGCCAGACATGTAACATGGACTCAGACCTGAGACCTGGACTCAAACCTGACCAGATGAGACAAGGACTCAAACCNACCTGACCAGATGAGACCTGGACTCAGACCTGAGACCTGGACTCAAACCTGACCAGATGAGACCTGGACTCAGACCTGAGACCTGGACTCAAATCTGACCAGATGAGACCTGGTCTCAGACCTGAGACCTGGACTCAAACCTGACCAGATGAGACCTGGACTCAAACCTGACCAGATGAGACCTGGACTCAGACCTGAGACCTGGACTCAAACCTGACCAGATGAGATCTGGCCTCAAACCTGACCAGATGAGATCTGGACTCAAACCTGACCAGATGAGACCTGGACTCAAACTTGACTAGATGAGACCAGGACTCAAACCTGACCAGATGAGACCTGGACTCAAACCTGACCAGA